TGAAATGCAAATTTGCTTTCTGCAGAATATTTGATCTAAAATGAAGTGTGTATCAAAACATTCTTGTAGCATAGTTATACAACACTTTGTTCTAAAACGATTACTCATATAATTAACTATTCGCTTGAAAAAGGGTTAGTTCCTAAAATTTGGAAAGCCGCATGCGTTAGGCCTCTTGCTAAAATTGATGCTACGGAAGGACCTGATGATTATAGACCAATTAGTATCCTTCCAGTGTTATCAAAACTATTAGAAAAAATTGTATATGAGCAATTGATGCAGCACGTCACTACCTTTAAGATAATTCCATCTACGCAGTCGGGGTTTCGAAAAAACCACAGCACCGTAACAACTCTGCTCGATGTCTGTGACGACTTCATAGGGGCAATAGATAATTCTAAAGTTACTACTGCTGTCATGATAGATCTAAGTAAGGCCTTTGATTGCCTCAACCATGAACTACTTGTTGCAAAATTTCATTATCTTGGCTTCTCCGATAGTTCGATTAATTGGTTTCGCAGTTATTTTCATGAACGCATTCAGCAGGCAAAAATCGGTGACATCTTATCACAGGAGGGTACTATCTCCAAAGGTATACCACAGGGGTCTATTCTTGGACCTATTCTGTTTTCTCTTTATGTAGCGGACTTAGATCAAGTCACTAAATACTGCAAATTACATACCTACGCCGATGATACACAGATTTATCTATCTTACAACCCTGCTATGTACACTGAAGCGAATGAGATGCTGTCTGAGGATTTAAATAGTATATGTGTGTGGTATAATAAACATTGCTTATGTATTAACCCTAGAAAGTCGGCTATCATAACTATTAAATCTAAATTCAGCAAATTCAATGGTGAATTAATAAAGCTGTGTATTGGAGATGATCAACTTTGCCACCGTTCGCAACTTTGGCATCACGTTTGATTAGAACCTGTGCTTCCATGATCATGTCACCAAAGCTGTTCAGGGTTCCTATGCTAAGTTGGAGTGAATTTATAGCTATAAAAATGTATTGTCCAAGCAGACCAAGGTTAAGCTGTGTGACTCCCTTATCCTAAGTAAACTTGACAAGTCTATGGTCCATGTCTAATACAAAGCGAGGCATACAGACTTCAAAAAGTGCAAAACAGCTGCATAAGATTCAGTTTGGGTATTCAAAGGCAGGAGAGAGTATCTGATCATATTAAAAACATTCAATGGCTTACTATGCCACAAATGTGGATACTGCATCTATTATCATTCTGATAAATAAAATGCCTCTTTATTTGAAGAACAAGCTTACCATGAGATGTGATCATCACTCAGCGAACCTGCGTTTTGTAGGATATACTCTTGACTTGCCTTGGCACCGAATAACCCAATTCAGAAAGAGCTTTTCATATGTGGCGCCCAATTTCTACAATAAAGTACCTCAAGCTTTGAAAACTCTATCTGTGTCCAGCTTTAAAAGAAAAGTTAGGCTCTTTGTCTTTGATGACATGTAGCATGTATTTTTATGTAATTTTAGTTTTATATTTGTTTATTTGTGCATGTTTTCTCACGTGTCACTTTTCATTTGTTTGTGTTTTGTTTACGAATTTGTTACTGTTTACTTTTATTTTTATATCTTCCGCCATATACCTAATATTTTCTTTTTTTTTTAAGTTACTTCTAAGCATAGTTTTTGATTCTGCTATGTACTCTGTTGATGCACGTCCCTCTTTTGGTCTTTTGGTCATTATACCATGCATATTCTACGATTCTGTAAAAAAATTGTTTTCTGCTTTAAATTTTCAGTGTATTTTTTTTGTATTTGCATGTACTTGAATTTTTTTTAGCCCTGGTTGGTTCTGAAAAACAGCTTGTACTGATGTAACCCGCCAGGTAAAATAAAGGCCATTTATTATTATTATTTATAGGACACATTTTGAACGTTTATAGAAATATTTTATACGGCATAGTCAAAATATTTGTGTTGTGGCATCCATGGTGACATTTATACAACAAACCCGAGCCTTGTGGTTTTTGTGTGCTTTACTACTTTAGGCAACAAATTGTTCGCAGTGGAAGCACTTATATAGCTATCGTTTAGTACCTCTTAAAGGCTGTACGTCTGCAACAATATCACAGCCTTTATAGTACAAAATTGCTATGCATACATTTGTTACTAAATATGTGGGTATACTTCACCACCCAACTAACAATTATCAATCCTATTAAAGTTGCAAGAATGATTACACAGCATTGTATACTGTAAGAACATTGGCAAAACCCTCTTAGAACAGCTATACAAGCGGAATGGGCACACCTAATAGGACACTTCAGTCATTTAAGAGGTTGTATAAGCGCTGCAGGTAACAGTTATACAACAAAAGTGTAAGCCTCTTGCAGCCGCTATAGGACATTTGGGTCAGTGCAAGATTCAGTTTTTGTCAACTATACAACTATTCTGTTACGTGATTCTACTTTATTGTAACCAAACTATTTCTTATGTATTGTACTATATACGAAGTGAAGAATATATAACCTAACACATTACAGTCATCTTGTTTATTTACATATCGGCCATTGTGAACTTCATACACAGGTATATGATAAACTTCTACACTGTGATATAGAGCTACCGTATTGAATTACTGGTACAGCAAATTTTATTGTGATTATCGTGCAAAGTAGTTACGCAATTTCTACGGGCTTCGTGTTTGATTCATATTTTAATAATGATCAAAAGTATGTCTAGATTTTTAAGATGGAAAACTGAACTTAATCTGCGTTATATCTTCCACAAATCCTATATTTAGACACAATTGCACTAATGTTTATCACTTTATATCTGTAATTTCGAACTGAAACATAATTATTTAATATTAAATAGAGGAATAAATGTTTGCCCAATATGGCGGGTGGTTGTGTATAATCATGGCATCATCCATGTTGTCTTTAGTTTGTTAGAATATTTTGGTGTTGCCTGCGGTTGTTATACAACAATTTGACAAATGTCTGAAATGAAATACCGACAGAGTCGAATGATTTACCCAGAATTTTTACCAGATCTACATCTTCTGTTTGTATAGTTGATAAAACCTTTTGAACCAATATGCAGGCGTTGTTTGTCTTAAAACATTGGTTATGGCATTTCAACAAAAATATGACAGCAGAAAGTTGGGTTATGGCGAAGTTGTATACCAACATATTTAGCAAAAAATGTATGCCGAGCACGGCAATTTTGTACTACAAAAGTTGTAATATTGTTGCATATGTACAGCCTTTAACAGTTACTAAACAACAGTGGTATAAGTGCTTCCGTTGGGAGCAATTTGTTGGCTAAAGTAGTAAATTTGCACAGCAAAACAACAAGGTTCGGGTTTGTTTCATAAACGTTACCATGGATGCCACAACACAACCATTTTGACTAGCGTTCAAATATGCCGTATAAAATAGTTGTATAAACGTTTATGCAACAGTTGAAAATTTGTCCTATAAGGTGTTGTATAACTATGATATAAGAATATTTTAAACACCACATTTTAGAACAAATATGTTGCAGAAAGCAAATTTGCATTCCACACAACATTAAGCCAGCATTTTGGTCTTCAGGCAACAATTTTATGGCTGAACGGTTCTTTTACCAACAGCTTATAGCACTACTTTGTTAGTTGGGCAGTACATAACTTTCTGCTGTCTTGTTTTTAGGTTATATGCATATCCAATATCTGCAGACAAGCAACACATGAATAGTCGTTTTAAAGGTTTCGACTCTGTCCGTATTTCATTTCGGAGATTTGTCAAATTGCTATATAACGCCTGCATATAACACCATTAATAAAGCAGACCTTACGGAAGAGGCTATGATTGTACATAACCACCCGCCATAGTGGGTAAAAAATATATTCCTCTATTGAAAATCAAATAATTCTGTTTCAGTCCGACATACAGATATGAAATGATAAACAAGAGTGTAATTGTGTCTAAATAAAGGATTTGTGGAAAATTTAACGACATATTTTTGATCATGATTGAAATATGAATCAAATTTGAAGCCCGCAGAAATTGCGTCCCTACTTTGTTGGATAATCACAATAAAATTTGCTGCGCAAGTCATCTAATAGCCCTATATCACAGTGAAGAAGCTTACCATACCTACACCCGTGTATGAAATTTACAATGGCCGACATGTAAGTAAACATGGTGACTGTAATGTATTAGTTATAGTATAGTTAGAGTTTCAGAAAAAAAAGTTGGATATAAAAGTTGTAGGTGGAGCTAAGAGCTACAACCTGTCTGTTGGCTAGTAAAAAGAGGTCATATACGTGTATGTGCCTGTTGGCTCTTGTTGGTGGCTTCTAGCTGCATTACCCTTTCCATCCTTGTTTTCTTTCAGGTTATACGCGTATCCAGATGTATCCATGATATCCAGATGTGATAAGCATACGTTTTAACTTCGGTGTTTTTGATGCACATCGAGTTGGGCCTAATGAAGCCAATTATCAGAAGCGTACGTCGCTCGGGCTACCAATCCGACTATTTCTGCTCCTTTTCTTTTATTGCGGACGTGTCCACGATTTTCCTTTGTTCTTCTTCTAAGTTTCCGCAAAACTACTTCTGTGCCTTAGAGGTAAACGATCGTAACTCCTTTTTGCAGTATAATTAGTATGGTTAATCTTTACGTGGAGTAAATAATCGTAGCGCCTAACCACGATAATCATGAAATATATGAAATAGAACAAGCAGCTAGTGATTTTTTGTTAGAGGTAAACAGTCGCTTCTCCATACATATGCACAATACTATCATATGAATCATCGCTACGCAGCGGTAAACAGTCGTGTCTCCGTCGCGCATCGCTTACTTTACAAAATGTGTTGTTCAATCATTCTTCAAAGTTGATCAAGGTGCTTAAGTAACCAGAAAACGGTAATAATGTCCTCAAGGGCTCAAAAATTAGTGCAGCTTGCACTGAAGGAGGAAATCGATTCTCGAGAATCTAGTAAATACAACATAATTGATGTTATAGGTGTCCGAACCAAAACAGGAACATTATGATGATCATAGACTACTTTTACATATTACAAATAATAAGTCCTTCATTAAAGTGTATCATTCACAAGTTTCTTCCACGTGGACACACACACATGGAAGCTGATCATATCCATGCACTTATCGAACGAGTTATAAAAAAACAACCAACCATGAAAATATGTACGCCATGGGATTGGCAGCAAGATCAACCGGAGCCACAGTTTTCGAGATGCAAACTTCAAGAACTTCGAGGCCTTATATTCCGGCACAGGATCACCTCTCATTCAAAAGAAACAGACAAAGAAAGCTTTTTAGTGTCATCAGCGGTGTGGCTTGAGGTTCGAAAACAGGATCCAGGGATACTCTATTATAAAACAGGCATACTCCAAGAGGACTACAAAATAGTAAACATGAATACATCCTCTAGAAAACCGATACGGTTACCACTAGAACTATGTTCGTCGCGTCAAACCCCAAATGGAGAAAAAGCACGATCATCTTCGCATGCTTCTGCAATGGATACCAGAAGCATTTCATGATTTTTATAAAAATATTCCTGTGCTGGGTCAACAAGGAGATCATGACGACGACGATGATTGAATATACTCGTATATTCTCCAGATGTCATTTTTTGTAATAATAAAATGTAGCCTATTTCCACCTATTGTACTTACTGTGTTTCATCCTATGCTGCACCTGGATAATCTGAATATCAAATTCTAAGATCATTAACATGAAGCATTACTGTTCTGTGTAATATGTTTTCCCAAAAAACTATATTCCCATATTAACAGTAAAGAACAAAAAACCATTCTGCTACTAACTCAATCTTTAATTTGCTTGTTCTCTGAATTGCATTATATGGAGTTACAACTATACTAAGTGACATATAAATCCGAACACCCAGTTTAAATGGTTTCATTTTAATAAAATTTTGTTTAAGTACTTAATGAAGCATAATAAGTAAATAAATAAACATTTCAAAATGATTGCACTGCTTTAAAGCCCTTTGACCTTTAATAATGTGTGGATGTACGCTGATGTGCTACGCATTCTCCAACGCGCCTAGGCATGCTTCTGATCAGGTGGTCAATGTCCTCCTGTGGTATCTCATTCCAGGCAACCACCAACTCCTCTCGAAGTGCTTCTAGAGTCTGAGGAGGACGTTGCAAATTGAGCAATCTCCTACCCATCATATCCCACACGTGCTCAATTGGGGATAAGTCGGGAGATCTTGGTGGCCATGGTAACAATGGGACATCATTATGTTGAAAGAAGTCTATTGTGACTCTTGCAACATGTCGTCGGGCATTATCTTGTTGGATAGTTGGATCTGCCAGGGTGTCAAGATAGGGTAAAAGATGGGGTTCTAGAACTTCGTGGATATAACGCTGAGCGTTCATGTTACCTCTGATGAAGATTAAAGATGACCTGGAACCATAAGCTATAGCACCCCAAACCATAACTCCAACAGTGTGATGAACATGTCTTTCAACAAAAAACTGTGGATTCCTCCTTTCACCACGTCGCCTTCTAACCCTGGCACGACCATCGTGCATGCCTAAACAAAATCGAGACTCGTCACTAAAGACAATACTGTTCCATTCCCGATCCCAGAGTCACCGTTGTCTGCACCACTCAAGGGCGATTACGTCGGTGTTCTCGAGTTAAAGGGAGGACCCAGTGTGGCCGGTATGAAAACAAGCCAAAACTTTTCATTCGTCGGTAAACACTTCGCATGCCAATAGGTCTTCCGTGTTCTGCAAACCATTCATTTGCAATGGACCTGGTAGTGGAGAAACGGTCCCTTAAGGCCAATAATCTTAGGCGGCGATCTTCACGGTCTGTTGTTCTACGGCGGCGTCCAGTACCCCTTGCTCTTTGCGTACGGCATTCTCGAAGCCATGCCTGACAACACCTAACCACAGTGTCTACACTTATTTGCACTCTAACTGCAATTGCCCGAAAAGAAAGTCCAGCTTCCCGAAGTCCCACTATACGGCCCCTATCAAACTCACTAAGTTGACGAAATCGTACAGGTCTCCGTACTCTAGGCATCGTAACCCATCGTAAAGGATGTCAAGAACCAAAATCCGCCAACGTTGATTCTTTACTGCGGCTGAAATATTCATTTTTAGAGCGTTAGTGAATTAAAAAAAAGCAGTATAAAAACCGGAATGTCCAACTGATAAGGCTGAACATTTTTTCGCTTGTTATTTACAGTAAGATAAATACATTCACCAACTTTTATTAAAATAAAACCATTTAAACTGGGTGTTCGGATTTATATGTCACTTAGTAGTCAAAAATATCATTTTGTAGAGCGTACGTTTTAGTCAAAGGTTCAGATACTCGTCAGCCACACAAAAATATTTTTGAAATCTCCTACGTATTTCTTTAGCTATGAACACGTAGAATAAGTGGCGTTTTTCTTGTTTCTATCTCCAAATTCTAGAGTCCGTTAAATTCTGTTCCTCGCGAAAATGGCATGCAATGCCGTAATTTTTGAATGATAATTTCTTTTTGGTACTCAACTATATGTTCAACAACTCCCTCCAATATTATTTTATTACCACTTCTTTCACAGAAAAGCACGACAATTAAGAATCACTTATTTTAAGCCATTAACGTAACTGCAAGCGTTCCCGCACCCGCAGCCACAACTGGGATAGGGAAACGTTAACCATTTTTGCATTTGTCTCTCCCGCCCCTCGTCCCTGTGGCTCCTTGAATAAATTTTCGCTGAGTCGGCGAAATTACAAACAGAAACGGCATTCAAAGCACACAATTCTTATGGAAAATGACCTCCGATTAAATGTATTTCAAGATGTCACTATCAGATCGGCTTTCGATGTTTTATTTGCAGTTTAACGTCAGCATTCACCATTTGCTCATCTGCCGAGCTTATGAGAGGTTAAATAAAAGTAAGTTTGCGATAACCAAAATTTCGCCATTTTTTGGCTAACAGTTAAGCTTAAACATCGCTCTAACACGAAGCATAATACTATTCGGGGACTCGTAAAGCAAGGCTTGAATTTTCATTTAGATACTTAGCGACCTCAAGAAGCATAATCTTTTAAGCATCGAATATACTCAGTTTCAGGGCTTTTCAGACATTAAGGCCCAATTTCACCAACAACAGTCCGTTATTCTCCACCTAGGGTAACAGACGGTCAGATACAGCGAATGAGCTTCAAGTTCCAATCAATAAATTTTAGCAACCAATAGCTATGAAATGTTGAAAACAAAATACTGTCAAAGTTGGAGATGACAACTTGTCATTGAAACATTACCAGCTTATTGAATATTAAGAAATTACTTGACTTTTTATTCATGTTTATATTATTTTCTTCAATTGATATGTGATACTGGGTGTTTTTTCCTATAAACCTCTTGCAGATAGCCATTAAGCACCTACTTGATGACATGCTCTACCAAAAGATATTGCTCGTTTCCAAACATTCATTCATTTACTTGCCGTTCATCAGAACCATTATGGCACCTTAGATTGATATTCCCATAAAACCATTCAGGTTTTTTGATATCCATACATCCACAAAGTTGAATATTTTTCGTTGTTCAGGAACTGAACAAACATCCACACTATATTCACAGCGATTAAGAAGTTCCCAAATATATGGCTTTAAGCTACCAGCAAACCTACAAAACCTGTAAAAAAAAACTACAAATTTGCCATATTTTTCTTTTTTCACGAGTACACATTCTAGGTTATATTTATATTAGACATTATTTGAATACAGCTGATTATTGCATTTTAAGGAATGACACATGTGTGGGATCTATCAACTCTTGGTACCAGTCACAAAACATACTCTGAAGGTTTAATTCCATGCTATTCAATCACAACACGGTGACTTGTGTGGTCGTCAGCGGCCATTTTGTGAGGGTGCGACAGGGTTGTCCCTCCTGGTCCCAGTGGAGTAAGTTCCGCCAACTGTTGAAATATACTCTACTATGCTTTATAAGTAACATTTCGTAACATTTTTCCCAAAATCATTGCACAACACTTGTCCTGTTTTCGCTGTACAAAAGCATCATGTTGGAATCAAAAAGTGGTCTTGTTTATAATACAGTCGAATTTTCACGATTTTATTCAACATTTTAATAGAAATCACTGGTATTCTGAGACCTTTGACAGCTTCCGTCAAATTGCATTTCGATAAGGTATTTTCCTATTGGTCCATAATATTAATCTTGGTGAAATCGGCCCTAAGACTACGAACTGCTGCCACATCCACCGTATTATCCAGATTTCGAGAAAAGGCCACTCGCGGGGCGAAATTTGAGTCGAATAAGGAGACTACCGAGCCACGGAGGTCTACCAGAAAACGTAATTTTCAGACGGGTTATACAAGTTCAGTCTCCCACATTCATGTTTGTCGCTATCAGTATGACAACATGCTTGTTTGGGCGTGTGATTTGGGTTTACCCATTTTGATCTAAAAACGTAGTAGTGCCTGAAGTTTCAACTACAATGTCGACAGTCTGTATTGAGAAGCATTTTCAGAAAATAGGTTGAAACAACGGTCCTCTATCACCCATTTTAAGTGATGTGCAAGAGCGAGTTGCAGCTGCATTACCGATCGGCTTGCGCAGTGTGAAATATCGCTCTGGGAAGTTAAACTACACACAAACATGGTTCCATTGATCAATCTGTTTACTCATTTCGTACGGCATTGTGACGTAACCGCCAAAAACCATTATGTGATATAACAAGTGTTGGTATATATAGTGTTAATATTGCAGCTCCCACACGAACTTCAGAACCATCTGAATTATACAGGGTGTTTCAGTTTATTGTTGCATAACTTTAAGATTCGATAGAACTTTTAAAATTAATGCATAAAGAATATATAAACATGGGTTGAAAAATGCGTGGCTTCCGAAATACTTTCTAAAATAGTTTTTCTTAAATATTTCGGACAATATTTGATGTATAATAGGTATACGAGGGTTTTTTGGTACGACAAAACGAACCATGGGCATAGTTTTACTGTAGCCGCTAGAGGGCGCTCTCTACTGTACCTGTAGTGTATTAAAATGACCGAAAATTTTTTATTAGTGCAATTTTTTGCTTTTTGAATAAAAATACTGATTCTTCGCACTTTTCAACATACAAAAGCTCTCCTGTGAGTTTTCGTTATAGTTAGCCGTTTTTGAGATATTTCGATTTTTAAGGTTCGATGCATTTTTAATTATTTATGGGAAAATAATATTTTTTTTACATTTTTGATTTAGGCATTACAAGTAATTAAGATGATCGTTTAGATTGTGTTTTTAAACACAGCAATAATTCCTAACTCCAAATAAACACAAAAAAACAGAATATTAATTTGTTTAGTTTTCCAATATTATTTTTAACAACTTAAATTAATTATTTACA